CTCAGAAGTGAGGTTATTGGGTCAAAGCTATCCTATATAATAAAAGGCTAATATGCAAGTAGACCAAATGGTGGAACAACTGAACAACCAGTTGCTATGACCACCAGGTGGTGTGTGCTGACCACCAGGGGGCACGCATGGAACATGGCGGGCGTCGACAGCAGGCAGAGAGCAGAACATGGTGGGTGTCGGCTGCAGCAGGATGATGGAGCAGGTGAGCTGGGTGCCAGATCAAGGCAGGGCACCAGTTGCTGTCATGGGGCAAGCCTCTGGTGATTACTGAAAATTGTTTGCTCCCGCGATGTGATCCTGCCCAGTGCTCACACCTGCCTGGCGCTCACATCTACTGCCAGCGCTGGCCCTCCTCGCACCTGCTGCCAGTGCTGGAGCTACCACTCGCACCCACCACTGGCACCTAGCACTGGTCCTGATTACTCGACACCGTCAGTGAGTGCGAGCGGCAGCTGCTGGCCCTGATCACCCCTGAGGGCTTCTCCACCTCCCCTTGCTCCTGGGGGGCAAACGGGGCAGCAGCTGCCGCTTGCACCCACTGATGGCATTGGCCCCGCTTGCACCCGCTGCTGGTGCCAGCCCCAATTGCTTCGCGCCTAAGCGGGTGTGAGCAGGGCCGGCACCATCAGTGTGTGGGAGCGGCGGCGGTAGGAGTGGGGCTGCCTGCAGACAGGGGACTGGGGGCCATCGTGGGAGGGGCTGAGTGGGGTCACGGATAATGGGCCGAGACCCACCCCTGTGTCTACCACAGCCTTGAGGCCCACAGTTCCTTTCAAGGGGCATGAATTTGTGCACTGGGCCCCTAGTATGTTAAAGAATAGAGGATCAAGCTGGAAAAAGAGGAGCAAAGCAATTCTAAGCAGAGAGAATGCATATACAAAGGTGAGAAAATATAAAAATATATTATGTTTCAATGATAATTTGATAAGATAGAGAAGTATAGGACTTAAAATTTAAAGAGATCTTTCAAAAAACTAGAAATCCTAAGTTTTTATATGTTGGCAACTAATTGAAAAGTTTTCAAATAACATGCATGCCAAAGAAAACACATCCAGAGCCACCAGTTTGCACCCTCCCAATTAGTGACCAAGAAATAAATCAGAAAGTTA